ATTTTGCTTTTGCCGACACAACCATCAAAAGTAGCTTGTTTGGATATGTATGTGGTGTGATCAGTACAGTCAACACGACGAACCGACATATGCCTAGGTAAGAGAACCGACTGTCGGCTGAAGGCGTCGTCAGGGGTGAAGAGGCTCGGATGGGAGGATTTGCAGGCGTGGGGCTGAGGTTGCTTGAGTTTCGAGGTTGTGCGAATGTGGTGTGGGTGGTAGGCACCATCGTCTCCTCTGGTTGGTGCTCTCTGGCGGTGTGGCGTCTCGATCCTCACGGAAGGGGATAGGGTTCCCCTTCCCAGTGGCAGCGGCGTGCGTCATTTAAACTGGAGACACCTGGGTCTACTCAATGATGGTGCTTTGTTGCCTTGCCTCTCGCATCTTTCTTTGGTTCCCTGCCGCCTCCTCTTCAGCGACAGACTCCATGAAGCTTTCCTTTTTCAACTAGTTGGGCGTAGACAGTGGCGGTGCTGCCAGCATGGCTTGTCCCAAATCGAGGTGGTCGCTCTAGGTCCATCGTTCGATGTGAGGGCGACATTCTTCTAGCTCTCGGGTGAGCTTCTCTGAATATCGACGGTACGATGCCACGAGCCATTTTGAGGGGGTAGGGTCCCTCTTCGGTGACAGAGAAGGAAGTTGATGTGTTCCCTCCTTCCTTAGGTGCTCCTGGAGGAATGTCCATCTTCGACGGTCGGCTCATCTACACCCGGTGAACAGTAAAATGAAAAAAATAGTAAAAAATAAATAAAACATTCCGAAACTTTTCTACAAGCAAGATACTTGAGTGCACCAGGTGCGTGCAAAATTTCATGGGTAAACGGCATTTGAGGAGCCCATGCCAAACAAGGCAAAATCGGTTATGAACAGTTTGTTTCTTTTTCAAACTTTCTCACATACCTGAAATTTATCTTCCTTGCCACGACCTCCTCGGATGTCCAAACTCCATCAAATTTGGCACGGACATCACGCATTCGGCCACCTTGCACCACAAATTTTTTTGGAAGTTTTTGATCTTTTTTACTATTTTAAACAATTTTACTGTTCATGGATGGGAGCATCTAGACCTGGGTGCACAAACGCCGCGTCCTGTTGGGGATATTGAAAACAGTGTTGTCCTTTCTTTTGTTTTTGTTATGTTATCACCCGCTAATGGAACCCGATCCAATTTTGGATTGAATGAGAAAGAAATTTCTCAGGATATTTACGCGGCCACCTGACATTTCTCTCGATACCAAGCCGGCTCTCGTTGTCGTCGTCCATCTCGCCATCGCCAACTCTACAATTTTCAATCGTGACTTATATTAAAAACCTATTATATAAATTAAATATTAGCCACAATTCAATATTCATCTCAAAATTTAAAAGATTTTAATTCTACAAACATTCTTAATCTACATACTTATGAGTTATAAAATTGTGCGTATAATTGTGAAAATGTTTCTATAATTAAAATAATACTTATGAATTATAAATTTATATTTTTTGTATTATTTAAAATTATAGGAACATTTTTTAAAATTTATATAAATTATTTAGAATATATGAGTATTTTTAAAATAATGCGTGAACATTTTTTATTTTAATCTAAGACTGTATATTAAAATGATTAAATTTACTAATCAACATTTATATGTATGATATTTATAAGACACAAATATTCAAAGATTATTTTTATTACTTATATATGTTTTACAAATATCTTAAGAAACTAACATGTGCAAAATGGGCTGCACTAACTGCAGACCATTTAAGCCTAGTGAGCTTCTCGATTATAGTAAATTAAGTTATTTATCTATACCGGACAGAAAAAAGCAATGGATTTTTTATAAAAAAAATGTTTTTCTTATACAACTTTTGAAACTATGGGTCCAATTTAATAAATCTCAATTATATACACTGATCGTCCTCCCCTATGCCGAATTACGACTCTCTGTCCACACATGGGTAGAAGAGGCCCTTTTCGTTCATGTTTGGGCGGAAGATCACTCTTCCTCCGTAGGAAGGCCGAAGTGTAGGTCTTGGTCCATTTAAAACGAGGAAGAGTGGTTTTCCTTCACTTAATAGAGGAAGAGTTCATGTAACACATGAAAGAGTGGACATCCACCTAGCATGTGCATGTCCCATATACACCATAGCACCTCTTGGTCAAACCATCGTGTCATGAGGACTAGATCGACGAGGAGAATCCATTCAGATGAAGAACCACTTGAATCATGCATTGTGGAGGACGAATTTTGCCTTTCAATCTACATTGATCACCGTATTTCTACATCATCCTCAATGAGATATTTTTGAATTAATTGCACACATCTATTCATCTAGATGTCATCAACATCATATGAATTACCCCTCTTCAAATTGTTTGTATTTGTCGAAGTTGGAAACATCCGGTTCACGTCCTAGGATATGACAAGTCATGGTGTGCGCGACGAGTGACAAGAATAGTATGAGGGACAATGTCTATGAAGTTGGCAGTGTCTAGATGAGTAGATGTGTGAGAGTAATTGGAATATTACTCACCGTGCATGATGTAGGCTTGGGATGGTTGGTGTAGACCAATCGACATAATTCATTCTCCCTGATGCATCGTTAAAGCTATTCTTCGTCTCACCCGCAAAAGAAAAGCTATTCTTCGTCTAAATGGGTTTTTATAATCGATAAAGTTCAGTTGGCGTGAGGATTCGGCAAGGGGAGCTCCAGGTCGAAGGGGGTGTGATTTTGCGTGAGGTATCGTGGTTCTTCATATTTTCGTTTACATGATGAAGGAAGACTCACTCTTCGATCTTTCCTGGAAAGAAGAGTGCTCTTTGGTCCACACATGGACGAAAAGGGGCTCTTCGGCCCATGCGAGTACAAAGAGTCATTCTTCTGCTTAGGGAAGGACGACAAAGTTATACAAATGATATCTTCTAAATCGGTATCATATTTTTGAGATTTCACTAAAAATATATTAAAAAGAGAATTCAAAATTGTGCGTGTGTGTGTGGCTCGTAGGTCTCGAGTTTGGTTCCTCATTGCCGCATTTTGTGTGTGTTAATTTCCCCTTTTGTAATGACAAACGGAACTCACTTTGTTGGGGGCTTTTCCATGAAAAACAATTCAAGTGCGGTTTTTGTAAAATAACAGGCCACACCACACATCTCATCTCCATTGTCTAGTCATTCATCGTGGGTCCCGTGCCACACTGGCGCGCCTCATCAGCATCGTTTTCATATCCAAACACAATTTGCACCGTACATGCACGCCCGAGCCAAGTTCCGACACCCACTCAATGTATGCCACAGATTCCAGTACTAAAGTGACTTCTCTTGGTCAATTTCAAACACCGGTAGTGTAATCCACTCTTTTGAGAAGTGGAGATTTTTCTAGTAACTTTTTTTGAATTTATTGTAGCTCGGGAGCAAACGATATCGGATGGATTTTCGTATGCAGATACTGTAGATCGATATACGCCCCGGTTCACCGGACGATTTGATTCGACAGTAGTAGTAAAAAAAAAGAAAGATGTGGCGTGCGTCGCTAACCATGCCAGTGCCTGACGTTGCGGCAGTGCCGTAGCTGCAGCCATAGGGGAGTGGCGACTTGACGCTGTACGTTTACTTCCGTCGTGAACATCCGTTTAAACATTAAGTAATTCCTTGATGGAGAAAGTATATTTTCCCTTTTGATTTAATTACTAATCATGTATACCTAAACAGTCGATTTTCACTAACTCAAATTCTCTGAATATATAACTATGCCAACTCATCACGTCAGATGTACTCTCTCCGGTCTTTTTTACTTTGCACATAAGATTTTGTCTGAAGTCAATATTCATAAAGTTTGACAAACTTTATAAAAAATATCAGCATTCACAATACGAAAATTAATATCATTAGATGTGTCATGCATTTTATGAAGTTTAATGTTGTTGATGTTGATATCTTTTCATACAAATATGATCAAACTTTACGAAGTTGTTGTATGGAGAGTAAAAAGGACTGGAAGTAGTATAATGGGAAAGAATTCGTCTGAATGTCTCGGACGGAGCGCCTGTAGGTCACTTGCTAGCTTCGGAGCCGCCACGGTCGGGCGCCTCGAGCTGCTAGTGCCCACTTGCCGGACACAATGAATTCCCGTCGAAATGACTCGAATGACGGAGCTCGGACGGATTCCTCCCTGGACTAACGAAGAGCCAGGCGGATGACAAACTCCTCATCGCCTGCCATGCCGGAGACGAGCTGCGGTTGGATCAGAGCGGGGCGGAGCGGAAGTGGAGTGGCCAGGGTTTCGCCCCGATGTGAAAAGGAAGGGGATATATATGGGGTCAGGGTGAGCCAGCTTGGGCAGATCCAACATGACAAACACACCCGAGCCTCCCCATATCTGCCCCTAAGATATGTGCTGATTTGAGGGGTGTCGGACATCATGGACGTTTGGTGGTTCGGTTGGGTTGGATTTTCGTGACCGGGCCATCCGCGCGAAGGATAAGGGTGGTTCGAGTGGGCCGGCAAATAATTTACACACGTAAAAGGTTACGAATATGTGTGGGTGAAAAAAGAACAATTTGTTTCGCTTTGTTAACTTGGTGTTCCGCTCACTTAATATTTTGTAAACAACAATGGGCAATACCTTAGCAAATGCGCAATTTTCACTGACTCTAACAACATAACAGTTTACCCAACCTCCGCATTAATTAAGTTCTCTTCAATCTTCATGACCTATACTAACACCCAAATCACAAATGCAAATGAAAATGCTTGGAGCACTAAAGTTATGAACCCTCACACAATGCATAACTTAATAAACATATATAGGCATGGAAACATCTTGCAACAAATCCAACGGCCACAAAATATGTAGTAGTTTTCACCGTTGGAAATTTGCAAAGTCTGATGTTGAAGTACTGCTACTAAATTGCAACCAAAACCCATCATCTCCAACGCACGAGACCCTTTCCAAGCTAACCTAAACCCTGCATTGGTTACTGACTAAGCGTAGTGCATGCAATCCTGTCATCAGGAGGTGAACTTGTCAATGCGGATCTTGAGGGACATCCGCCGGGCCGCCCCCGCCCCGACCAGCAACTTGGGCGGCACCGCCAGGTACGCCAGCTCCTCGACGGCGACGGCGCCGGGCGCCCTGCTGCTCGCCACCTCGATCTCCGCCATGACGGTGTCGGCCTTGCGGTTCGGCGCCGGCGCCGGCCCGCTCGCCCACACCTTGAGCGTGTACCGCGGCCACAGCATGGCCTCCGCCCTGACGCACACCGCCGACACGGCCGCGCCGGAGCCGAGCGCGCCACCGACCATGAGGAACGCGCGGCCGTCCTCGTCCCCGACCAGCAGGCCCCGCGGCTCCAGCGTCGCCGGCAGCTGGAGCGCGAGGACCTTGCCGTACTGGAAGTTGTGGACCGGCATCGAGTGGAGGGCGGTGAGGTGGCCGAGGAGCGCCGGCGCCGGGCCGACGAAGCCGCAGCCGCGGACCGCGCAGTCGCAGGGCGCGTGCGGGCACTCGCCGCGGTGGCCGTCGAGCTCGTGGTAGGTGACGTAGCGCCCGCAGCCGTCGTGGTCGCACTCGGCCGTGGTCGAGGAGACGACGGCGTCCATCACCGTGCTGCGGACGTCGAAGGCGCTGCCGCACTCCGCGCAGGGCTCCACGAGGCAGCCGCCGCAGGCCACGTGCCCGCCCTTGCACTGCGCGGACCGGCCGGAGAGATCAAATACTAGCTGCTGTAGCGGATCGAACCCAACACTTGAGAGAAACGAGGGAGGCGAACCTGAAGGACGGGGGGCTTCAAGGGGGTGATGCAGAGGGGGCAATGGAGCAGGGTCACGTCCATCTTCACGGCGATCTCCATCCTGGAGCCGTGGTCCGCCGCCACGACCGCGGCCCCGTCTCCGGCCGTTTGGAGCACGGCCATCTCTTGCTTCACCGGTGCATGGAGGAGGAGTGGCTCGGCGGCCAGCCTCGGCTTCTTGGAGCTCTGCTGGTCGCCCCCCTCCGTCGCCGCCGGCGAGCCCTCGCAGCCGGCCGCAACCTGCATCCTGGAAGAAGCCCGGCCCTGTTTCTGGCGTGGGTGCGAGAGGTGGAGTGAGCGGAGTGAGCACGGTAAAAGAAGCGGCAGCTGGTGAGTTATTGGTTGGCAGCGGCCAGTGGAGGAGTAAAAAGGTGGCGTGCGTGGCTAGCCGTGCCTGCCATTGCCATAGCTGCACCGCGCAGCCATAGATAGGCTCGTGGGGTGCGGCAGGGTGCTAGGCCCTAGTTGACTCGAAGGATTCTCACAACGTAGTGACAAGAAAAATAGTACATGATTAAAAGTGGCACGCCCATTTGAATTCTATGAGAGTAACACAAAATGTCTGATGCCAAAAGAGAAAACAAAAATTGTAAAAAGAAGGTTAAAGTGGATTCTAGATTTCTAATAAATGTAGTACACATAATCGCATATAAAAATTTCCTATATGATTCTATCATTAAACCCGTTAAGGCGCATTGAAAGGGCGATCAGCCAGCTATGCCACATGACGCATTCTATCATTAAACCCATTAAGAAAGTTTTTGATTTTTCATTTTAGAGATTATTTTTAGAAGATGGAGTGAGACTTTTCCCTTTTTCTTTTTGAGCAAAGCTTTTCTCGGCTTGTTTTTCTTTTTGAGATGGCTGTGATGTGCCCCGTAATGCGAGAAAGTTTATATTAGATGGAGATGGGTTTTTTTAAGATGGAGAACACCCGCACAACTTCCTCTTAAGCGACTCGTAATGGTGGCCCCCAACCACTAGTATGAATTAGACAATCAACATAGGAAAAAAAATTCTAAGAACTCTAATCCTTCAAAAATTGTATAGAATCCCTTTCAATGGAAGGAGCTCTTGCTCTATTGAATGGCAGTTATGCGGTGCCAGGTAGAGCAGCCCTTTCATGACATCTTTAACCGATATTCTAAAAGTCTTTAGGCCTCCTTTGGTTCAGAGGGTAAGAAATATTATAGGGCTGGGAAACTTGTAGAAAATAAGATGTCCTGCATAGTCCCATGAATAGGAATAGGAAAATAGATGTCTCTTGGTTCACATCATTGGTTGATAGCTACCAGTCAAGCAGTGCGGTGCAGCTATGGTTATGGTGGAGTGCGGGAGGGTGCACGGCTTTTAGGTCCTCTTTGATTCGCATGATTTTCAAAATGAACCTTAGATGGCCAGCCAAACAAAAAGTTTGCATTTTGGAGGAGCATGCGAACTCCAGGCGGTCTAGATGAAATATGGTTTAATACACGCACGGGGTATTACGTTGTTAGTATCATCAATGTACATAAAAAGCGAGGCTCACCTGATTATAGAAGGCCTGACATGACACGACCCACGTCGGCCTGGCTTTAAGGATCGACCTGGCACACGAGTTAAAAAGGGGCGGCCCAACATGAAACGACTGCATGCCGGCCAACGCTTAAAGGGCCGAAAGAGCCCTAAAAGAGCCGAAATAACCCTTAAAAGGCCAAAACAGTCCTAAAGAGGCAACAAAACATTAAAAAAAGGCCAAAACAACCCTAAAAAGGTGCCACGATAAAAAGGGTCGTGTCATGCCCGAGCCCGATCTTAAGGTCTGACCTTGGGGATCAACATTATTCCAATGGGCCGTTCCAACCCTTTTTATTCACGTGTCATGTCAGGCATGTACGGGGCCAAAATTCTGTGCCCGCGGGCCCGACCAACACGATCCAACATTACACCATCTGCCAAGAGAAGACCACATCGCCCCTTTTGTTGTGGCCGTTCGGTCAAGATGAAACATTTTTTTTGAGGATAGGTCAAGATGAAACATGAGTCAAGCGAACGATGGATCGCGGTTCCCGCAGTGGCCCGTGAAAGCCTCGTCAAAACCCTGGAAAACTCGGTTGGAGGGCCCGTTGAGCCTGACTCTGGCCCCCGCAGTCCATTCCCCTCTCACTCACATCTCCTGCAGACTGCCTCGTCCTGTGAGAGTTAATATCTAGCCAGTACCAATTTCTATTAGGAATCTTCTGCGAGCGTGGGACCATCGGGCCAGCCCAGTGAGCGGAGTTTTGTCTCCTGTTGGTTTTTCCCTAGTTTTTGCAACGTTTGTACTACATAGTTTTCTCTGTTTCCGGGGTTTCCTTTCCCTTTCCCTTTTTTTCCTTCCTTCCTTCCTTTCTTTCTTTGCTTTTCATCGGTTTTGTGTTTCTTTCTTCTGTTCCCACTGGTTTTTTTGTTTCTTTCTTTGGTTTCGTCATATTTGTCTTTTTTTTTAAATACATGTCTACATTTTTCGTACATAGCATGAAGTTTTTGTTGTACTCATTTAGCATTTATGAAATACATGATCAACATTTTTTGCAAAATATATGTTTTCTTTTCTACTTTGTTCATACACATTGTACATTTTTTTGTATACATCTAAAACATTTTTATATACGTTTAAAATTTCAAAATATATGATTTCATGTTTATTTAAACACTTGTTTCGAACATTTTTTAGAATATGTGTTTAATCATTTTTCCAAATACACGTTGAAGTTTTTTTTTGAACTATGCTATCATTTTTTTATGCCGGATAAACCATTTTCCAAAAGTGACACAAACATGTTGTTTGAAACGTGTGAGCAAATTTTTCTAAATGTGATACACATTGACATTGTTTCTGAATGGTACGAAATATGTTTTTGAATTAGCGAACATTTATTTTACATTGTATATTTTTTTGAAGAATGTCACGTACACATTTTTGAAACTCGACAACATTTTTTTAAACGTTCATACTTTATTTGAATGGTAGAAACATTTTCTAAAAGTGGGGCGGACATTCTTTGTACACCGCATTTACATCTTTTAGTCACATTTACTTCTTTTACAATATAATATATTTTGTTTTTTTTCCAAAATATAAACAAAGGGAACAAAGAAAAAACACGCGTGATGTCTTCATAACGTCAACGTGACAGGACCATGTCGTAGCTGGGCCGGCCCACTACCAGCTAGCGTGTGTGGCTCGCTGCGGGCGGCGCATAGACGCGCCCCCAGCCGCCTCTCCCTCCTCTGCGTAACAGGAGTGTAGGTCGCCACCGCGCCGCCGCGCTGCCGTCGCCGCACTCGCATATCTTCCCCCCTTGTCGCCGTGGTCGCGCCCAGCACCACAGCATCCACCCCCAGGCCTCTTCGTCCCACGAGGCGGCGCAAGGAAGAACGGCGGGTTCCTCCCGCGTATCGGCCGGCGGGAGATCGCCTCCTCCATCCCCGCATCATAGATAGGTATACAAGTTCGGTCAATTGATACAGATAAATTGATATGCTGTGTGGATCTAGGAGCAGAATCTGTTTGTACAATTAGAGCCTGTAGCTTGTTTTCTAGGAGTAGGAGCTCGATCTTTGATCCTGTCTTTGGGGAAAGGAAATTCAGAACTGGCAACAAATGCTCTGGAAACAGCATTTTTTTTCTGCTTGGATGAACTGTTGCCTTCTGGTGTTACACATGAGAATGAGTGAGAGGAAGGTTCGCTTGAACATAGTCTCAATGCAATTGGTAGGCAAGAAGCTCCGGTTTCATGAGCTTATTACCCCAATCTAAATGTTTAGCACACCATCAAAAGAAAAATCTCTCACGGCGACAATTGGATGCGGCTTTGTGTTCTTTTGGCAGGAGACCTGTACAAGTAATCTGTGTATAAGTCCAAGTGGTAGCTCATTCTGCTCTGTTTTCCAACAAAGCTCTCAAGTTGGATTTGCTTCCAGAAATGAGGAGGCAAAGGGAATAGTACCATGGGAGACGTGCATCCTCAAGGAAGTGGGCCTGATTCATATGATTTATCTTCCAGGTACAACATCAATCCAGGGGTAGCATCAAACTGTTGAGTGTGACTGTTTTGCTGGAACCTTGGCGTGGGTTGAATAAGTTTTTGGTAAGTGCTGTTGTGTTCATTCCTGCTCTGCTGTTTGTTATGGTGTTGATAACATATATACCCACACTTGACTTGACTATAAAAAATGTTAACCAAATTCAGATTTGTTCCTACAGTAAGTGTGGATTTGCAACTGTGATCATAAATCATATTCCTACCAGTGTATCAATTTTTTCCATATATTTTCTTGTTTGCCTTTCGTTTATAGCCTGCCGAGCATCTGTGTAACTTAGCCTGTCCCCTTTTAGGGGCTGCAAGCTAGGCCTATCCAGAACAGGTATGATTTCAAAGAAGCCCAGAAGTTCAATACAAGCACATCACTAAGGTGAACACATATGGATAAATACAAAGGCATATGGTTCTTATGTAGAACAAAATGTTGCACTCACATTATTCAAAACAATACTAATGCAAGGAGCATCTAAACAAGTCATTTTTCAGGAAAAGAACAGCAAAGAAATGCACCATCGAAAAGTAGTAACGATATACCAGGTGGAGTAGACAAATTGGCTGGCATGGTTTGGTCCAAAGGTGACAGATAATGGACCTTATTAACGAGTATGTTAAACTAGGGAGGTAGATAAGACGATAACAACGAAGCTGCAACCAGATGACGTGATAGAAATGTGTTATAGGTTGGTTGACGGGCCACCCGTCTGTGACTCGGGGACATCACCTTTATTACCGTCAAACTGGGTGGGTTTGCTTGAGCCATCCGATTTGCTGTTATTTCTGTTGTTTTTCACTTGCTGAGTATCAGGGGAGGCTTGTTCCTGAGACTCTAGTAAATCTTGTCCTGGAGTTCTCCCAAGTTTCTCGGTTCCAGACACCGGTGGTGCAGCTTCAGAACCTTGCTTCCCAATGTCTTGCGGCGATATAATGGACCTGTCACTTTGCAGCTGCTGTTGTCTCATGCTCTTCTCAGTGGCTGATGATGGCATTTCTCTGGATGTTTCTGAGCTGCGATAATATAATGTTTCATTTGTTTGCTTGCTACTATCCTTAGAAGATATCGGCTTATTCCCATCAGATGCTGGTGCTTGCAGTGGTGCAGGTGCTGCACTTTCACCAGCTGGTGATTGGCTTGGCATCCGTGGGGATGGTTGTTGCTCATTGGTGGATGGTGATTTTCGT